TCGTTTCACTTCGTACTGGACACAACAAGTGGGACATTTGGTTGCTTTGGTGTCGGCTCAGTTTTGAAAGAAACTTCACCGAGGTGGAGAATTGTGAACACGTGGGGGCCCACCCACGTGTTTGAAAGCGACGCGCTTGTTACAAACGCGTTAATGAACGCGGTTTGCAGATGCGGCCCACTTAAGCAAAACTCAACCATATATATACCTCATCAGTTCGGTTCCTAGGGTTTTGGGCTTGGAAAAATAAAGTGTGCAAGGAATATTTTTGGTGGCTGCACATTGCGGAAGCGAGCAAAGTGGGTCTGCAGATTAATTTCTTTTTCGGCGTGAAAAGCAAAAAACTGCAGAGGAGAGCCGCTGGTTTTAGAGATTTTGTGCCTCCCCTTTTGAGAGAGATTTTGTGTGAGGGATCTGAGATTTTGTGTGAGGGTTTAAATTGTGTGATTGTAAACCCTAGTTGTAATATCTCCCTTTAATAGTAGATCTCTCCCTCCTTGCCCCGTGGACGTAGGCTATTTACCGAACCACGTAAAAAATTTGTGTTCTTGTCGTGATTTGTAATAGTTTGTAGGTTCCCTCGACGCGCAGTCCTAGAGCTGACGAGAGGAAGAGCTGATATCTCACTTTGATGAGATATCTGGCTTTTGGTTCTTGTTTCCTTTGAGAAACGAGAATTCCGTTGTGATCTAATCTCTTGTTGTGCACCTTGCGCACCGGAGGTGCTGCCGAAATTTCGCTGCGCACAACAGAAACATCACAGGGGCAGCAACAATCAGCTGCAACTTAAAACAAAACAAATACATCTATAAGCTACATGAAGGGAAGAAGCTATTTTAACATATACAAAGATCCAAGAGTCCAAGACCAACAACAATAATTAAGAAGCCAAGAACTAAATCAATTTTAATCATAAAATCTAATTAGGATTTATGGAATTTGTTATCTCTTCTATTTCAAACTATTAGTGCGTTTTAAAATCAAAGCAAAATACTGACCGCCGAAAATCTAGTGAATAACTTGTATAAACACAATGAGTAAATATGGTGCTAGTGTATCTTTCAGTCTTGGTGTGTCAATGACTTAGAACAAATCCAATTTGTGAGAATGTTTATTTTTTATGATCTAATTTATAGTCCCCCTGAAAATCTAATTTTAATCATAAAATCTAATTAAACCAATTATTTCTCACTAATCTACAATTTAGTAGCATGCATCAAGAACTAAAAAGTTTAGATCTTTCCCCCTG